AAACCGTTTGATTTATTAATCAATAGTTCTATTAGACAAAGTACTTTACATTAAAATAACATAATATAACATAAAGCTTTATCAGTAATCAAGTGTGTTTGGTATAATATTATTAAGTAGTGGAAACCCCAAAGATTATGAAATAATTCAACATACAAAAAACGATAGATTATCTTTTGACATTTTAAATGTCAGGTACAAACTGATATTACTAAATATTCAGATGAACTGCATTATTGTAAGCGTTAAACTATTCTAGTAACAATAAACCAGATTTATAAAACAATATTATATAGTCACCATTAAATAATTTAAATGCGTACAAACATTTAAATTCTGATTAAATTATTATTGGTTGTTAATAACAATGAGGATTTGTAACATTCACCGTCCTAAATGTTGTTAGTCGATAAACAAATAAATACGTAATTTATAATTTTTATTATATTACTACGAGACAAATTTCTTTTTGTTCATGTATTTCTCATCAATTTTGTCACAATTTGGCCGGTTTTTTTTTAGCATTCATGTGTCTAATATATACTGTATCTATATTTATAAATTTTGCACACCTATGTAAATATTGTTTTTAAATTTATAATATTTTTTGAGCGAATGAGGTGTCCTGCATAATTTGATGCCGTAGTTGTTTTTTATTTGTATACATGTTTAATAAAGCCTATTCGTTGAATAACATTTTAAATGTTCATACGTTTGTCTATGTTATTTTTGTTATATACTAGAGCTTAGTTTAATTAGTGTACGTCCTTCTCCAGCTTTGTTTCGGTTTTAGTTGTAGAAAAGGTAAGTAAATTTATTTTCTTGCATTTCAAAACTGTTTTATATATTTTGTTTTTGTTACTTCGTTTTAGCAATTTTTACTTTCTCCGGCTATACCATAGTATATGGAGAAAGTATTGTTTTCGTCAAAATTTTCGAGTTTGAGTTTTGAGTGGATATATTCGTTTTGGGCCCCCCTGGACCCAAAAAAGTGGTTTTCGAAGTGATGTCTGTGTGTGTGTGTGTGTGTGTCTGTGTGTCTGTGTGTCTGTGTGTCTGGATGTGTACAGAGCTAGAGACTACACCTGTGGTCCGATTTCGATGAAATTTGGTATGTAGGTTCTAATCCATGGTATCTCCAGGCGTTTTTTTCATTTTTTTGAAATTTTGATTTTTAATGGGGATTTTCCCATAAAAACCCATAAAAAACCGGAAAAATCGGATTTTATCAAAAATGGCCCGAACGATTTTGATAAAAATTTAGTATGTTGTAGCCCTTTAAATTCAAAAAGTACAAGAGTACAAAATGGTACAAATCCCATTTCTGTAAAAATTACGGTTCAAAAGTTATGGTAAATTATGTTATTTCCCCATAAAAATCCCATAAAATAACGAAAAATAGGATTTTTAGACAAAAAATGCGTTTTTATTTAACATATGTTATGATCCTTACAATTTTGATAGTTTTTCTCATTTCTTAGAAATGTTTATTTTTAATGGGTATTTTCCCATAAACCCCATAAAATGACGGAAAAAAAAGATTTTCCCAAAAATGGCCTGAACGATTTCGATAAAAAATTAGTATGTTATAGTCCTTTATATTCTGAACAAAATGGTACAGATCCCATCTCTGTAAAAATTACGGTTCAAAAGTTATTGTAAATTATGTTATTTCCCCATAAAATAACGGAATATCATATTTTCCCAATATTGGCTCGAACGATTTTGATAAAAATTTAGTATGTTATAGTCCTTTAAATTCTGATGAAAATCTTACAAATCCCATTTCCGTATATTTACTCTCACCGCTTACACATGATAAAGGTTGTTGACAAACTTATGGGAGAAAGTATGTGTCAGAATGCTGATACCGTTTATTTATAGATAGATTTATTTGATTATTACAAAATATACATAAGATATACAAAAGATTAAATCAATAAATAGTAGAGCGAGGAAACCAAAAAGCTACATGCAATGAAGCTACAACAATAAAGGTTTCCATGAAAGATAAATTAAGTATTTATATTCTTTGTTAACTTTCATTGTTATACTGTGTTATTTATTGTATTATATTAAGTATAAAATGAATGGTTTAATTTTGTATATATAATACATAGGTAGGCCTATTGACTAAGCCGTTGGCATGTATATATAAAATAAAAAAATGCATACGAGCCTAAATAGCTTAAATGATATAAATTCGATCTCACGTATATCATGGAGGTTCATACAAAAGTTCTTCACTGAGTTTTGATTTGTTTTTTTTTTATAACAAATTTTTTATTTAATTCCAACGGGTCCATAATTTTAATAGATGATTAAAATTATCCCTATATGGGAAATTCACTAAAAGATGTATGCAAATAAAATAAAACGTACAAATTTATATTTGTACATAAATATTTTACCAACCCAATGTTCAACAATAATTTAATCTCAAAACATTAATTGCATTGTATCTTAATTAATAGCAACATTATGAAAAAATACAACAACAAATACATATCTGAAAGCTGATAATAACAGTGAAATTCTTAATACACTAGTATGTTACAGTTTAACTTTACAACAATTGATTACAAACGTAACCTCAGAGCGGAAATACAATATTATTATACTTAAAAAAATATATTTTATAATCTATATTTTGGAAATCGGGTTAAAATTGGCATAGTAATGACCACTCAATGTGCCTTTAGAAAATTGAGACAACAAATCTAAAGAAGTTGATGTCAGATCCCGCATACGAAGCTGTCTGAAAATCTCGCAGGGGTATTCACTGCATAGTGCATATAAACGTGTACGATGAACCTCTTTTTAGACCCATGTATGAATCTTATACTCTATGGATCTTCTCGGCTAATCAGATTGCGTCGTGGTTAGTAACGTCAAAAATTGAATGTTTCTTAGTTTTTATATTTTTAAACCGGCCGTACATAATTACCAAAAGCTAAATAAATGTTGTAAAAATACTGAATGTTTGTAAAACCCGTTATCCTTTTGGTTAAACACCAATAAAGTAACAATATGTTTTTTTATTGATATTCTTTCAAAATGTACTGAGTAAATAAGTTAGTGTCAGCATTGGAAACAGTGTATGACCTTTATACAAGGCGCAGGATAGGCAATCTTGTTACTGATCTCTTATTGCCTATCTAGAACATGCAGGCTCACCCGCCGGGAACAGATGAACATTTGAACAGTCCTTACCTGTACTTACCTATACCCACTAACGACTTAAGTACAATAGTAGTTTTGCAATGGCACTTTTGAAACGAGTATTGAATATAATTATTCATTACGATATCGAAAAACTTTATAAAAAAACATAAATATTTTTGTTTATTTAACTTAGTATCAAGAAAAAAACCAAACTCAACGCTGAGTTTCCATGCTAATGTCGAGGTAGATACGCACGGAAATTTAGCGTTATGAGTTTACTAGCTGTAACCCGCGGGCTTTGCCCCGTTTAACTTCTTAATTTTCAAGATTATCTCGTTCGCATGGCTCAATCACGTCCTGGTTGAAGTTTGTTCGCTACGCTCACTCACCTTTAGGTTGGAGCTCGTTCGCTACGCTCACTCACCTTTAGGTTGGAGCTTGTTCGCTGCGCTCACTTGCCTTCAGGTTAGCTCGTTCGCTACGCTAACTCGCCTCCAGGTTGAAGTTCGTTCGCTACGCTCACTCACCTTTTGGTTGAAATTAGCTGTTGTCATAAATGTAAAAGAAATAATAGTGCTGCACCCTGTTGGTAATCCTTGTAACTTTAATGCTATTGAACATCATAGAACAGAACCAACTTGTTTAATTGAAACAGCTGTTAAGATTCAATAATTCCATTTCTCATAAGGTTAACATGGGAAACTCCAGAGCCACTGGGGCGGAGCCCGAAAGGATTTTTGAAATAAGAATATGCCTATATGTTAATCGGGAATGTGAGCTATCATCATGCCAAATTTCAGCCCAATCCGACCAGTATTTTTCGCGTTCACTTGTCACAAACATACATCCATACATCCATACATCCATACATCCAAACTTTCTCATTTATAATATTAGTAGGATAACAGCAAATAATGCAACAGCTGATCGGTCTGCACGCAAAAACCCATAACGGTTACTTCCGTGCACCACAAATGCACAGAGAGTTAACGTTATGTAATTTTGCCGTGCAGTAGTGGGAATAACCTATTTCCTTAACTCATTTTACATTTAGAAAGTGTACTTTCGTATGTAGGGTAATGAAAAGTATTTTCATTGACTTTACATACTAAAGTGAATTTTTTTTGTATGCCAGTTTTTAACAACGAAAATGTTCTATTGGTTCTCTACTTAATAGAATTTAGGAATAGTCCAATGTGCCTCCCATTAAATGTGTTGAGATTAAAGTAATGAGCTATCTTATCGTGTGTAATGTTGTTGGCATATTATAGTTCATGGTGACGTCTCTTCAGTTTGACGTGCTTAAAAAATTTCATACAAAAAAGAAACAAAACGACGTTCTCACACACAACACACTATTTACACACACTACACAAAACACGGTTGATATAAACCGTACTTAACAAGCATTAAGCTGTTTAGAATAACGGTTATGTGACTGAGGCCAGTGTTTTATTTCAATAGAATGAAGGTGAATGAATTTATCACAGAGTGTGATAGTATCAAAATTGTATTTTCTACATTAATGTTTGTTTAAATTGACATAATAGATGCCATGGTTGAAAAGAAGTGGTTCTTTCAGTTTACCTGGCTAAAAATCTGTGCATGGGACAGAAATAATTAAATGACAGCAAAACACTCTGTCCTAGTGTGGCCTTGCTCTGTCCACTTACAGAGCAAGGCCACAAGAGCTCAACGACTTGACCACGTCAATTCGTATTCCAAAACTAGCTGGCGGGAATGAGATTTGTTAACTTCTATGAATTGCCAAAGTTAGCAGTTAATACTGTACATCTTGTATCATGACGATTGTTTCAGGGTGACTTTGATTGCCCATGTCGGAGATGGAGAAGGGAGCGCGGAGACCCAAGTGCGCAAGATGTCGCAACCACGGCATGATCAGCTGGTTGCGCGGCCACAAGCGCCACTGCAGGTTCAAGAACTGCTTCTGCGCAAAGTGTAGCCTCATAGCCGAGCGCCAGAGAGTCATGGCTGCACAGGTATATTGACGGAATTGATACTTATTTATGAAGATTGTGGAAGAACTTTGAATTTACTGTTGGAGTTGAATAGCTGTACATAAGTGGTTATAGTGTTCGCCTTGTGAGTGGTTGCCGGTTTGACAATGAAAAAGTCTTTAGCTTTTAAACGAGTTAACACTGAACTCAGTTGTCTTTGCTCAGTAAGCTGTTATAGCAAGATCCCTGATTAGCAAAACGGATTAGTAACAGAGCTACACACTGCATCCACTTCATACTTAATATTCATATAATCTTCTTAATCTTCATTACCCCCATGATCAAGTAAAATTAATGTATAACACACTGAGTCAATTGTTGTTGCTACTTTTATACTTGTTTTGGTGCTGACAATTCTTGTATGGTTTTTGCAACTATTGTATAATATGCATGCATTTATTATTATTGTTCAATAAATAAATTGATTGATTGATTGATTGACTTCCTTGTGTAAGTGTTATGATTCTCACATTGTCTTCAGGTGGCACTCAAGAGACAACAGGCTGCCGAGGACTCCATCGCTCTTGGCCTCACAGCCGTCATGACAGGCAAGAAGTTCGGCTTCCTCCCTCCCGGACCTATCTTCGGCATGTCTGTCCCTGACCCAATAGGTAAGTTGGTGAAAAGTCTCGTTTAAAAATACGCGAATGCGCATACAAAGTAGAAGACAAAATTTCACAAGCTGTTTCCACCATTGTACTTTGCTTTTTGTCCCAATTTATAGGGTTTATGTTTCTATGTTTGGACTTGTTGAAATTACATTGGAAAGTAGAATGTGGTTCCATGCGCAAGAAATACTATTGATCTTAAACAACTCTTTACTTCAGTTTTCATAAATTTCGTTAATCTTGCGTAACTCAAATATGTTCGGAATGAAAATATTCAGTAAATAATCCAAGCTATATTTTAGTTTTCTTACTGATAAACAAGTTATAACCTCTCAAATCTAGGTCTTCGGTAAATGTTAGCATCGTTAAACAGACATAATACTCGGAAAATATGTTGTACAGTACTGTCGGCATTTTCACTAGTTAAACGTGACACCAAAGTTTGGGAGAATACATACTTTGATCGTGAAGTCTTCATTTTCTTGTAGTTTAAGTTATAACGTATTTATGCCTGTTACCGATCTCCTATCCCTATAACTCCGTGCGTTACTGTCATAGATGAAGATGATATTTCGCAATCACTGATTTGGTTCAATTTCATAGCAGAATTTCACAATTCAGTCAACCTTCTTTACATTTTAATAAATACTTACCACGCTTAAATTTAAATATGAGATGTAAAGAAGTAAGAATAATAAGTATCACTGTTTTACCTCTTACAACAATCTTTTTACTACCACAGCTTACTACGAACTTTATAAAGCGAAAGCTCGATATCCAAAGCATTGCTCAGAAACACATTTTAGGGAATATACATAGTTTGAAGTTATGCCTGACCTTGCGAATGATTTCGGAGCAGTGTCTTTGAGCCAAATTCTTTTCATACTATATCTTTAGGTGTAATGCATTTCGTAGCAACGCCAAGCAGCGGGAAATCCATTCACAACCTTGATTATACTAAGTACACACTAGACAAAACTGTTGCAGAGATTTCCGACACAAGTTCAGTCAAGTCCGGTGGGTCGGAGCCCTCGGTGGAGACTACAGCGCCCCTAGCGCCCTCTCCCTCGGCGCCCCCGGAGCCCTCGCGCCCTCTGCACCATCCCTCCCAGTTCTCGCAGTCCTCTCTGGAGCTGCTGGTGCGTCTGTTCCCCGCCAAGAAGAGGTCCGTGTTGGAGCTAGTGCTGCGCCGCTGTGGTCATGATCTTCTGCAGGCAATAGAACAATGCGCGCCTGCCTACGACGCTACCAGACTGGGTGTGTATCGGAAGATTGAAATAACCACTTGAAAACTATCAAAAAGTGTGGTTGGGGATTGTTTACTAATTCTAGACGTAGACGCAAATTCGTCGTTGACGATAAAATTCTATGGTTTGACGTGTAAAACCTATGGGGCAAGTTTGTGTTTGATCACACAACGCAATGTATGGTGGTTAAAAGTTACAGTTGAGCGTACACTTGTATATCGAGTATTGTACAGAATAAGCATAACATAGAAAACTTATTTTTTACCAGCACGTGTTTCGACGAATAGCAAGGTAGACTACATACATAATAATACATTATTTCAGAGAAACTAATAGCTCTATCAAAGGGTGGTCTTACATCGCTATTGAAAGGAAATAATCATATATATTTTAACACAAAGTAAATAAACTGATGAAGGAAAACTAATCATGTTTGGTAAAATTCGAAGGATTTATCGCTGTCTGGGATTACGTTTCAGAGAATATAATACTTTTAGGGCTTTGGTGTTTAAAATTTAACCGAATTTTAAAGTCCTAAGTTGTGGTAATTCACACATATTCTATGAAAACCCCATATTCTCTACAGACAGAGGGAGTGAGACCGAAGACTCAGGCGCGGAGGTGGAGACCGACGGAGGAGAGCCCTCTGACCGCAGGGCGCCAGGCGCCACCGGGGCTCCTCACGGGGGTGCCACGACGTCACACTCCGCGTTCAAACCCTTCGTCTCAGGACCCACGAGCCCGGAGCCCCTGGACTGTCGTACCCTCAGCTGTGCTCGAGGACTGCTGTTTGCTCCTCGACCTCCTCTCGACTTCTTCCACAGCAGCCTCATCGCCGCACCACCTTCCTCCTTCAGGTAGGCTACTTTGGCCAATCTAGTGATGTAAAATTTGCACCAATATATACAAACTGTCGTTTCCACTGTAGCCAGATTGATCATAAGAACATACAGCAGCTTTTTTTATGGTTTGAAACTGGATCCAGCTGTGCCAGATTGTAAATAAATGATCCTGGCTAAATAAACAGATGGGCTCTCAGGAGGCCTAACAAAGCTTCAAAGACCATCTCACTTCATGCCACATATCTTAAATATTTATATGCTTCACTCACGTTTGGGTTGAAATACGCTCCTAGTCTCAACTGATAACGATACTGATGTGATTCGCAACCTTATTTCTAGCGTACCAGTTTACAAGAAAACTTGTACAGTACCGAGAATGGCATTTTCCGGTGCGCACTCAAGTTATATGTGGAACGCCTAATTTGGTATTACAGTAAAAACAGCTGAGTTCAACAATAAAAAAATGTTAACACACTATGCGCGTGAGCAAATAATGCAGAACTACTTGAGAGCTAGGGAAAGTAAATTTAGAGCAAGGGAAAACGATCGGCTGATTTTATCTCACCGCGGCCTTGTATCAATAGAAGAATCTAGACGAATGTAAAGAAATGTAGACTCTATGTTGAAAAGAATAATGTAGAGGAATGTAGGGAGTAGTCTGAAATAGAGATGTTTTATTCAGAATTTTACTATCGTCATTAGCCTACATAATGAAGAACATTGGATCCTACAAACTGTGAACGAGAATTTTAGCTGAAGTGCTAAAATTTCTTGAAGGAAACATGGACTTTGTGCCTCGGACTTTTTAATCTCTGCTTCCAAGTGATTTCAAAAGAATAAGACTACATCCAAGAAACCTTTACTAAAACTTTCATTGAAGGATTCAACTTTAAAAAAAATCCTGAACAACAGCAGACCTTTTAACTCTGCATTTTACGGATAAATTGACGCCATTTCATCAACTAATTAACCAAAAGAATGCTATTTGAAGAAAATAAAATTGTGACAAACGCACAATATGGATGTGATCAAATTTTGACGTGCCTGACATAAAATACTCACGTCACTGCATTATGATTGTTTTTAGTTTTTTTTACTTCTTTTGAATTGATGGACCAAAGAGTAATTGCTTAAGCTTTTATTATTTTGGTATTATTTGCAAAAGCATTTCCTCTATTCTGAGCCCAGGATCATGTTGAATTTGTCTCAATCACAGATAATTAACAAAACATTACTTTTGTTTCCAAGCTAAGCAATTAAACATATTATCTAAAAAGTTCCAAGTTTCGTGATATTCTTACTTTGTTTATTGATTGTTATTTGATTAGAATTTGTTTAATACTACTTTCTTAGATTTGTTACAGTGTAGCCTATATTTTATATTGTAATGTGATAGCAAATTCTGCAGGTGGTTTAACGCTTAAAATCGAAATAAAAACTTCAAAAGTTTCCAAGCCTAATGGAAGGTTGTATACGATGGATCGCATCATTGATTACTGGCCGTGTCTATTAATTCACGAGGGGCAGGGAGGACAAATCTGATATTTGAGACTGTTTGTCTTGGCCCGCGGTCTGTGTGGGCGAGGGGCGCTGTAGGGCACATCTGGACAAGCCTTTCCGACAAACTTCTCTCTATGACTAGCTAGGGTCTCGGCATCGCTGATACATTACTAAAAATATAATTTCTTGTGGTTTGAATTCATCCATCTATATGATATTGTTTTGATCTCATTTGAAAATGTAAAAATTGCTTTACTTGACAATCCGGCTCGAAGGACCAAAATGCTGATACTAAAATGTTGTTTTAGTATACATATAAGTTATACGTTTAATTAATAATTATTTTATGAAATTCGTTTTGTGTACTTGTGTTGTAGCAATAAATGTGATGTTGATTAATTTATAGGCAATTTAACAGTAGTAAATTGTCATCTGCAATTAGGTTGGACCATCACTATCATAGTTGGCTTTTTGAGTATCTAGTAATGTTGGTTAGTGGTTACCATTTTGGTATTTTCCGCTAGAATTTCTCACAAAATTATTTTCTAAGACGATTTTACAGTACTGTAACGAATTGGCAACTTTAACAATAGAAAGCCAACACTATAAAAGATAAATATGCATAGATAGGCCTATATTTAGAAAAATAGTTATTTTCCACTTCCTAGCTCAAGAATGCATTTTCTACACACAACTGTTGGAAGACTATAATTTTTTTACAAAAATAATTCTTGTTGCAGTACCTCCGTGCTCCCCTGCCCATTGTACCAGACTGTACCTCATAGCTCCATGCAGAGTCTACTGTTCCAACACCCGACTGTACCAACAGCCCCGTGCTCGTGTGCCCAATGTAACCCTTCCTCCGCCTAGCCATGTCACCCCTAGATAATACCAATAAACAAGTTACCTTCCGTTAGCTGTACCAGATTGTACTAGTTTATTTACCCTCATTTATTAAATGTTTAACTTTTTTGGATTGCACAGTTTACATTTAGTTATAGTTTTTTTTATACGTGTAGGTAATTTTTAAGGCTTTGAGCAATGTTAGGTAAAGGTATAAAAAATTATAAGCAATGCATTTATACTTGCAAGTACCTACACAAAGTAATTGATAAAATTATGTTTAAACTGCATAACTCCATTAGCCTACTTCCCGTCCAACGGTGACTCGTTATAGTAAGATAAATTACGTCATCAAGGCCGACGCCATCTGTAATTAAACTAAAGAAATTTTGAACAAACTTGCAATGTTATCGAATTGCGCAAGGGAGAAAAAAGGAACGCCGCCCTAAGAGGTTACTCTCCTGATAGAAAATAATTTATTGAAATGCATTAAAAACCTTCTAGGGCTGCCATGACAGACTTTTTAAGACATACTGGGTTGTGAAATAATATATTTTTGAAAGATTGTTGTTCAAAATCTATAATTGGATCATGGCCCCCACAAGGGTGGGGCTGGTGCAACTCTGGTCACAGGGCCCGGGCCCTCAGGGGGCCCGGGCCTACCCATTTTTTTCTTTTTTCTTTTTTTTTCTTTTTTTCCCCATTGAAGATCACTTTACAGCAGATCATAAATTGAAGATAAAAAATAATATATATATTTTACAAAAAACAAAGTTAAATAATTTAAAGCAGATTCTAAGGTAGTTTATATTTAAATACTATAGGTGCGTATGTACTATACAACATCAGAACAGCCAGCTCAGGCCCCAGTGGCCGGCTCCACAAACTCCCTCTACCCCTTCCTCCCGCCAGGCGCCTAGCCACTCCTACCTCATTCCCCCCATAATAAACAAAGTTTGGTTTTGTAATTGAACTGATAGTTTCAAGAATGAATCCTTATAGTTATAAGTTAAAATAAAATGTGTAAATGTACTATGTACCATAGCTAAGGTGACCAGACGTCCTGTTTTAGGGGGACTGGTCCGTCCCGACAAATCCTCTCCGGGACGCTTATTTGTCCGGTTTTATCAACATTTGGTCCCGGTTGCACTTTTATGTATGGAATATTTCAATTAATAATTGCAATCTAGGTTATTTGACACAAACTTAAAAATTCTGTACTTTTGGAGTTTTAAAAATATGAAAGATTGTAATAATTTTGACCTAAGTTTTCCTCCCAATTCGCTCGGTATAATACTGTACTAAAGCAAGGATTGGATGGCATCGGCATCGACAGCATCGGTCATTTTCGGCATTACTCGTGCACATTCGTTTTTCTCCGTGACTACTCGCGCAAGTTCGGCAGCTCAGGCATCCACTCCCAAAAAATGTAGTATTGTTAAAATTATTCTTGATGAAAATTGTCACTGAATAAAATATGATTTCATTGGTGTAAGCTGTTAAACTCGATTTACGTACGTTTTTTTCCTACTCCATATTACAAAGTACAATTATAGCAGTTAAGATAGCCAAACCCTTTTACAGGGAAATAAAAAAGACAAAATATTAATAGGCATGGAGCTTTTGTGGATTGATATAATAGTTTTAATTGCTGAATTCCTGTAATTTTAAGTCTTATAAAACTCATTGAAGAACTCTTCCTTCTTCCTTAAAAAAGGCTGCAAAAGGGCCATTTACCACTCACAAATTTAATACCTAGATTGCCTTAAAAACTCACTAAAATACATGAAATTTTCAAAATTTTCCCCGGACCCCCCCTCTAGGCTGGGGGGTATTCCATACCCCCCCCGACCCCCCGGTTGGTAGGGGGGCCCGAGCCAGATCTTGGTAACAGGGCCCACAATTAAATGTGGGGGCCATGAATTGGATTATAATTATTAGCAAGGGAATTTGAATGTGTGGTTTCGAAAATTAAAGACTGGAAATTTAACCTTGAGCCTTGTTTGAGTTCATATAATTACAATAAAGAAATTCTCGATTAAGGAACCCTAGATATACAGATTTGTTTAAATGCATGAATAGTTCTCCTCATGAAGGCAGAGTAGGACACACAGTGTTGTTTATTGTTTATTTCATTGGGTTATTTTTTAGCAAAGCTCCTAGAGCTTTCAATTTATTTTTACGTTCTTTGTGTTATAAAAAAAAAAAATACTTTGAAATTGTCGCCACGTGAATTGAGTTCAATATTTATGAAGGGGTTTGCATTTGGCCCTCAATGTATGGCCAGGATAATCTTAAGATATAATTACTGTGCTCATTTTGATCGACTAGCTTAATAGGGTCCGCACTTCTAAATATTTTACTATTAGGTTAAAGAGAAACGCAGTTACCAGCTCAACGATAACCCGTGAATTCGGGTTAGTGAACATAATCGAAAAGGTGCAAAAGCCTGGTCAATTTGGTATATTTCACAATAAAAACCAAATTAAATTGACGCAGTAGGCCTACTGTATTTCTTAGAACGCCACCGAGTATAAGAAATAGAAATACAAGTAGTGTTTTTAAGAGTTTACTATCGTTACTAGCCTGTGTAATGAAGAACACAAAATTGGAAGAACACAAACGGTGGACGAAAATGTTAACCAAAGTGCTACTATTTTTAGTAGGAAACATGGACTTACTTTGTGATTATCAGCAGAGGAAGAAATGAAGAAATTCTAATAACACACAAGAAACCTTTATTAAAACTTTCATTGACGGATTCAATTATTCACGTTCAGGGAAACAAAAAAACCTGAACAACATCAGACCTATTAACCCAAAATTTTCTCAGAGAAATGTAGATTCAAGATTCAAGATTCAAGATTTATTTCGGCCATTAAGTAATTTACAATAGGCTTTGTCTTACATAAAAATATTAAACTAAAAATAATATTTCAGTCTTTTCCTGAAAAAAAAACATATAAAATAATCCACTGCAAACCAAACAACAGCACTTCTGTCAAAAATCTTCACACAGCAAACCATGCAAAATGTAATTGTCAAACAAACATACCTTTCAGTAGACGTACTTGACTTATTAAGTATTTAAGTTTTGTGCAGCCTTCATGGCATCAAAAAAATCATCAACTTTAATATGGGTTTAACTCAAGCCAATTTTTCACAGTGAGTACAAATTTTGATCTCCTCTGGGAACGGACAATACCAGGGAGGGCATTGAAAAACCTAATACCTGTAACAGGAAAACAGTTTTGTGATTTACTTAATCTATTACTACTTATATGTACATTTGAGCGATTTCTGGTCATGTAAGAGTGAACATCCTTATTATATACAAGATCAGCCTCCATATCTTTAATTGCTATCAAACATTGATATTGACATTGACTACAGTCATGATCCGAAGTTCTCTAAATACAGGTTTGTGGTGCTCTATAAAATGAGTCTGACACATGACTCGAATTGCTCTTTTCTGAAGTAACAACACTTTCTTAGCATGTGGGGAGTGACCCCAGAGCCGCGTACCGTAGACAACGTGTGCCTGAAAGAAAGAGAAAAAAGCAAGCCTCAAGAAATGTAATGGCAATTCATGAGATAAGTTTCTTAAAAGGAAAATCACTCGATTGAGCTTAGCACAGAGGGTGTCAATGTGGTCACTCCACACAAGCTCGGAATCCAGGGTGAAACCCAGAAGCTTTACAGGATCACTGCTGGCAACATTTTTGTTAAGACTAATCATAATTTCCTGAGTCTTGTCTTTGTTTAAGGCTAATCTATTTCCAGCAAACCATTCAGATGCTGCATTAACCAATGTGTTTACACAATTTCTAGCTGTAATAGGGTCAGTGCTCTTAGAGAACAGAGTTGTATCGTCCGCATACAGCAACACATCATTAGAAGAATGATGTAAATGACGTTATTACTGCAACTAAAAAAAGTAAATGAAGCAAGTGAATGCAATGAAGACAGATAGTGCAGGATATCGGGTAGTACTTGAATAAAATGAACAATTTATATTTGTAATGATACTGGCGACAATGGTGGTACCAGGTCAGCTACATTATCAATGGCGAATTTACACATGGACAACTTTATGCGGCTATGGGTAAGTCGGGAAACACTTTGTAGAAAATACTTGAAAAAAAGGTTACTAAACGAACTGTTATTAACAGCGTGAGTATTTCCATTAGTTACATAAGCTTTAGGTTGATTCGTTTAAACTTAGCAAAATGTATCACTATTATTAGTTTTAAAATAACTACTGTGATACTTTGCAATTGCTCGATTTCGAGCAACAGGTACTTAGCACTTAGCCACCCCTGAACTATTTGCATGAGGTTGCATGAGTTTATTGTCATTGTACTGACTCAACAACTGAGCTTATAAAAAAAAACTGACTACATTCAAACTGCTGCTTGTCCTAAGTATTACAACCACCATTTTCTAGATAAAAGTTTCCTTATGTATTTGCTAGAAGGAGTAAAATGTAGTTATTTCATACTATACATGTTTCAGGCTTATTACAGCTTATCATAAGCATTATTAATTAAAATAAATCACATCGAGCGATATTTGTCGAGTATTTACAAACAACTCCTATTTTAAATATGAATGATGTAGAAGATGAACCGTAATAAGCCTGGGACTTTTACAGCATGAAATAATAGTAGTTTACGCAACGATTGCGTTAAGTGAGTCTTTACGACACGAGTAGAAAATTTAAAACTTCTACGAGTGTCGTAAAGACTATTAACGCGAGTTGCGTACACTACTTTACCTACGACCGTTTTTTAATTACTATCAATCTGGATTTAATTACTAACAATCACTACTGATAACTTTTTAGAGAGGTTATGTTTTCGTGTATTGTCATTGCCACTGAAAGTGATGCAACGACTTGTTGTATAATCAGCTGATTTCCTGTAATTACGTGTTTGTTAAACTTCGTTAAACATTACATTGCTAGCAGCATTCTTACCATAAATAATATTGTATGAGGTACAATTTGGCAAATATTTAATTTATTTTAGGACTTCCACCAACTTAATTAAGAATACGCGAGTACCAACATGAACAAGTCGGATCAACAATTAAATTGGTCAACTGATCAGCTTATCAGCTGATCAGCTGATTAGTTGACGTTCGAAGCATTACAATTTTAATTCTTTTCTCTCAATACTTGAACCTCATTGGTCCGTTACCTGTGTGGATATGAGAAAAACTATGCTGATATGAAATGAAACTATGCTGATATGAAAGTAAACAGATGTAAAGTGAAACTTTTCAATTCTAAGAACTGGACTGAAATGGCTACTTTAAAAAACGGTCGTAGGTAAATATATTTGACACCTACCAAATTCGTAATAAGATTTTTCTTCATAGTTGAATATTAAGGATGCCCCAAGGTTGTTCCATTTGATGAGAGCGACCATACAATAAAGCGTAAGCTGTAAAATACACTACACGATAAAAAATATTTTATCGCATTTAAAGGAAACCAAACATTAAAAACGCTTTAAAAGGATTCGTGTTTTCCGGGATTCATCAATTAGATGCAAAGTCTACTTGCACTATCCAAAATCAATGGTTGGACCTACGAACGTTCTTAATATTGCGATAATTTTTTTAAAAATAGTTATTATTTTAAACGCAGGTTAAAATGCAAAATGAAATCACTGATTTGAACTAAATGACATCAAGCAGGAATAAGCTATACCCGTCAACGGAACCCAAACGGCTATAATTGCAAATGGTTTGACTTGAAATAAATACGAGTACGAGTCATCCTGAGGACCAAATGTTATTTATTTATGTAACGAGATATGCCAATAAACATAGGCTTGCATAAATGGCCTCTCAAGATTGATGGATGAGGTTGAAACTTCAATATACAGGGTGAGCTGATAGTGGTAGGGAAATGAAATGGGGAATAGAATCAAATGTCAGTCTGTAAAATCACTACGATTTGTGACATATTTTATGTAAAAAATATGCGATGAATGTGATCACCATTTAATAGTAAAAGTGAATGTTAATGTTAAGTGAATAGTTACCGTAATAAATATTCAAAATCAATATTGAAATGTAATATTAAATTAGTTTGCAATTTTAAACACCATTTTTTATTAAGTCGTTTAATCGTTCTAATCATTCATAAATCTTACATCTTCGGGGTTATTTTTTATAAAAAGGCAATACTTTTAACCTAACGACCAATAATAGTTTCGTCTGATGTTGATCTACGGGTTCGAAACGTCGGAATGAACACCATAAACTATTGAAATAATAGGCTAACGATTGTGTGTTAATATGATTTTTACTTTAAGGTGCAACATTATTTTTATTTTTTGTATTATCGATTATATAACAGTAAATTATATGCTCATATTCGGTATAAAGGTATGTAACCTTATTGTTTTATTATAAAAACCCTGAATAATATAAGGGTACATTATTAGTAAATGAGCGGTGTTAATGTTAAACAATTGATCTAACATCGGTGGTTATGTTAATTTAATTTGTATTTAACTAAAATAAAAAACAAAATCATTTCCAATTGCCTGTAGACAGAATGACCAATTTTAAGACAATCGTGGCCCTTAAGAGGTATTTCCCAGGCAACACATTTTTAATTTATGTTGCCACTACTTCAAATTGAAACTTGTAATTAAAAATTTAGAATCACTCCCTCTTCTACTGAAATTACGAATTATGATATATTTTTCTAATTCTAAATAATATATCCATGAGTGCACTTTATTAACAAACAAACACCTTATCAACTAACAGATATCTAAGAGATGAGCTTGGATGAGTAAGAGCGACAGAGATGTCCAAACCCCGCGCTGGACAAACACGATAATCGAATCAAATGAGGCGCCTGTTTGTAGACCGGTATTACTTCCGCCGGATACGTTACACTCGGGGGAAATTTTGGCGCGAAAAGGGATCGCGATATACGTGACAGCTGTCTGAATCAGATCCCTTTGTTTAGCCTGCGGAGTTCTGAGATTGATATTGATATTGGTCAGTTTAGAAAATTGGTTACCGGTAAGGGTTATAAATTGAGTGTTTTATTTAAGATACACTAAATTAAGATAGGATTTTGGTAAGAAATATCCTGATATTGCACCGTAAAATGTTGATGTCGAATAATAAACAATAGACAAACTTAAAAGAGATTACTAGCTTTAAGGCGAGAGATCTGAATCTTTAAGTTTCTGATCGTTTTATGGAGAGGGCGTTTGTTGATACTATTTCTTTGTAGTTATATTTAATTTAGAAACTATATCAACCAAATGAATCAATTAAGAGTAAAGGTATTAATTAATAATCGTAAATATCCCCAACACCCAACACAGCAAACCTGCAGAAGAAATAATGAATTTCCAATTCTCTGATTGAATATTTACTCAAATATTTCCTTAAATGTCAGATGTATCCCCTATTTAAATGTATCCCCTATTTAAATAACACTATAGGTTTAATGAAACCGAAACCCTATATTTGCTGCTACAGGGATGAAAAAACTATTAATGTTAATAGCATAGAATAACGTTTTATCTATCTTAATAGTACGGTACAAAATAAATACATTTACCTAATCATACAACAACGCGCTAATATAAAAAATTTGTTGGAATTTTAGCTCTACACTATAGCTGTAAAAAATTGTAATTTTTTAGGTATTATTGGTAAACATTTTTGGTTTGTTTACCAATTATTTTATTGGCAAACATAATTTTAAAATTCCATACTGTATAATACACACCGTTCCCATGCGCGATATTGCTGGTCTGAGAGCGTAATAAACAGTGTATCTAGTCCTACACGTGCATGGCAAATAAAATCAAACTCAAATTAGTAGATTGTTCGTTTTCACAGACACACACACACACACACACAGGCATATTTAAACGAATAGTGTTTCGGCATGTCGTCCTAGCAAAGCATGTCATCCCATGAAAGGAAAATGAACCCATAATCATATACAGCTGTAAATCATCGATACCGGGTCTTACGGTGCCGGTGCCACCTATGGTAATCGCTTCTTTCCTATAGGAGAATTAAATAAAGTGTCCACATCTACAGGGGCCAATGCACGGTACAATCTTATCGAAGAGCGCGACCATACACAGTTCAATAATAGGCTATTGCAACCTACAAATGAGCCCAGAGATTGAGAAGATGCATTCGCAGATTGAAGGATATTGCACAAAACCACCCATTCTCGATTCAATATTGAAGGTTGTGCAATACATTTCAAAACTTTTTTATTCACCCAATATATTTCACAATCTGATTTTTGTCTTCGATATAAAATATTAAAGTATTGAAAAACTAAAAAAATATTGCAAAAAAATAATACTGACCATGTATGGGCCACTGAGATTCCTGTAGACTACAGTGCACTCAATCTTCACATTTTCAATTTGGACTAGAAATATTCTTCTTTTACCATTCAGTTACAAAGTCACTGGCTCAATATGTGATAATTCGTTTAATCATCCATGATACGACAACCAATTTGGAAATTGATATAATGGTTGAATAAACCGGTAAATAAATGAACAATGGGATGAGCCATGAGCCACTGAGTCACGAGCCCAATGATAGTGTTAAGAGAACGCTGTAACTTCATGGAACATCTATATCCAAACCAAAGACCAGCACTTTAAACAGAAAAAGCTGTCAGCTGTGTTTGTGTTTGGTTTGTGTGTGTTTTCAGATTTTAGGTTATGGTGATGGTGTACTGGCGGACAATGAATGTTAAGTGAAGGACAAATTAAATTCTAAGTGAAATTACATAATTAATTATTTAAATGTTTATGTTATTATGAGAGAAATATTAACTTTTTGAACCTAATTGTTGGGTGGTATAATGAAATGAAATTTTACAGTGAGACCCTGGCAAAAGTATTAAACTTTTGGCCCGGTAAAAGCTTAGGCATATATAGATTTTTACCAATATTTTTCGTGTTCGGCGCTGGTTTAGAATTTACCATGATTAAGTGGGATGTTGGTGGAAGAGTAAACTTTTATCGCACTTACAAGAAAAGGAGAGTTCAGGAATTAGCAGATGAAGCAATGAAGAATTTGGAATAACTTTTAGGTTAGCCCAGGCCTAATTGATTTGTTAGAGATATTGCTAAAGTATTTTTTTCTTGTTACTTATCAAAGGCTATTTAACATGCCAGCGGGCTTATCCTGGTCATCATATATGAGGTTTTGCTCAGCAGCCTCTTTTTCTACATTTCTTGGATCTCAAGTAGTCCATAACATGTACAAACCACTTGAGGATTTGGACGAACTTGTGCAAGAAGAAATTAAGAAGCGCCTTGAAGAAAGAAAAAAGCGTAACGACTTTGAGAAACAGCTTATATTAGAACAGGACAAGTACAAGCAAAGCTAAGTAGTGATAGTTGGTTAAAGTTTGAAGATGACTTAAGTTACTTACCGTACTGTACTAGGCCTAGGCCTTGTTAAATAACAAAGAAGCCAATCAAGCAGCAAGTTTAGGGCATAGGCAAGGCAGTGTTTCCATTCGCGGGATTATTATCCCGAAAACGGGATTTTCAGACCTTGAGCGGGATTAAAACGGGATGCGGGATAAAATGGGATTTTCGGCTGTGACGACTATTTTTATTTTTTTTCTTCTCAATTTTAGAGAAAAACTAACTCAAATTGTTTAAATACTGTAGCAAAATATAATAGTGATGTTTAGACAACTTATAAAAATGATACGTAAAGTTTAATACTAAGTATTGTACAAAAAAAATCATGCGGGATAAAACGGGATTTTTCATCAATTCAAAAGCGGGATTAAACGGGATTTCTCGACCCAGTAAGCGGGATTATTTTTTTGGTCGTGTGGAAACACTGAGGCAAGGGTTCATAGTTGCAGTTGTATCAGGTACTTTCAGTTATAGGCCTAATGATAATTAGGCTAGAATATATCACAGTGTGAGCCATACCTAGCTGTCAACTGACATTATCCTGAATATTACATTAAAATTTATAAAAGTAAACTTTGGCCTTGCTTTATAAGTTTTAATCCCTATTTATGAGTGCTTTTTGTTTGTGTACAGTTCTATATGTAGGCTATTCTTTGACACAGGTAGCTTATACAAAGTCTATAAGTTATACTAGATAGGCCCTACCTGGGAATAACTTGCCCTCTACTTTTATTGTTTGAATTACGTTCTGGTATGGTACATTCTACTGAAGTGGCAAGTAGGAATTGATACTTATCTATCTTTGACTGAGATTTTGGATACCAAGATATAGCTTAGCCTATCTTCAAAATTATTACATAGTTGGGAAAGTTAGTCAAAAATGCTAACTAGTTAGAAGTTATAAGTTAGTCCCGTAAAAAGTAACTGATAGAAGTTATAAGTTAGTTAGTTTAAAAAGTAACTGATAGAAGTTATTAGTTAGTTGAAATACTAACTGATAGAAAATAAAGTTAGTTTTAGTATAAATTAGTTGTTCGTTGGGCAGTTGTTTTAAAGTATTTTTTAATGTCACATCTTGGTTACTAATATATAGTATAATATGAGTAAAGATTGCGCAAGATATGATTTTAAAAATGGCTCCTACGATTTCCTCTAATTTCAATGCTATTGAAAATTGCTTGTATAATACATTTGCATTGTATGATGTCTTACTAATCAAAGGGATAATTACGACTGTTCAAAAACATTTAAGTGTTTTACTGCAAAACAATATACACTGACATTGAACTAAAAATCTAATGGAAAGGCCAAGGAGATTTGTATTTTTCGACGATGCACCGCACGAATTGATGCGTTATTACACCATCCCGTAATTATAGTTGCAACGTTCCACGATCCCAGTGACTTAATGCAATAACGGTCGTCAGATAACAGATGTTATGTATCATGAGTTTTATATTGATTGAAGCTTATTGTGGACATTTTATAGATTGATCGTCCAAATTAAAAAGTTTTGTAGACTAAATTGAGGATAAGTGGATGACTAACAAAAACGAATTGACTTTACTACTTAATTAATCGTAGTAAGACTGAAAATATTTGTAGGCTTATAAGCTCTATTTTTTACCTCTTGAACAAATCAAACACCTCGAGCAAGATCGGTCCCCTGGTACTTGTGTTTTAATCAAACATTGTCACTTTTTACATTACTACAACATAAACAAATGACATAAAACTTGTCAGATAATGAACATCAACTAAAGACAATGTTTTGACACTTGAGATGATATATCAATCACCAAACAAACATTTCCCCTTCCCACCCATCAGTGCTTGGGGTGTTGATAATGGCCGTCACTACCCTTCCACAGGCCCACTGCATTCCAAAGCAACTGGACTTTGACTTTCTCTTTCCCCACCCCCAGCGTTGTTTGTCTACAAGGGCACTGACCTCTCACGGCCGCACGCAACCCTCACTGATCACGTGAAATAAATAACCAGTATTTGAGATGCTTCCGCATGATTGGGAAAGTTAGTTGAAAATTCTAACTAGTTAGAAGTTATTAGTTAGTCCCGTAAAAATTAACTGATAGAAGTTAGTAGTTAGTTAATTTAAAAACAAACTAATAAAATAGAAGTTAGCCAAAAAAACTAATGAATAGTGCTATTCGATAGAATTTCTATTCGTTATTCCCAAGTATGAAATTATATACAATTATATATCATATGCAAGCATTTTTGAAAAAGTAATTTGAAGTGTTTTTCTCAGGATTTTAATTTTACAAAAACAGTCTGCAGGCAACATAAACTAACAACTCGATACATTATAACCTAAACTTTACCTTCCTAATCTAACCTAACTTCAAAACACTTAATGCAGTCACCAATTCACATACAGCACGACCTACCACCCTGACATGCCTAAATAAGAACTAACTTACATGTAATTAGTCCACCAGTCCATCTATATCTCCATAATGTGACGAAATTCCTATTATAGAGAACATTAAGTTATTTGACTACAGAATCACTTGAAAGTTATCCATCCTATCTTGTTTATTGTAATGTTAAGTATGTTTTTACGGTGATATCTTGAGAAATATTCATCAGCGGTGAAAAATAATGGTATATTTGGATTCAGGAGGTAAAAAACTATAAAGTAAAATATCAAAATTAAAAATTCGTTTGGAGGCACCTATACGGAATAAATACCCAAGTATTTATTCTCTTAACATATTTATAAATTATTCTCTACTTTTTAGTCTTTAATGTGTAAATATGTTAAATCTATTTTATATGGCCTGTTAATAGACCTACATAACCAAAACCTTATTATCTCTAATCAGATGTTTTATCTTTACTTTGAAATACTTGTTTTATATTTTTAGAATATCTCGGGAGCAGGACCTGTACCTCTTAACCTCTGCTCTTCGAACTGTTAAATTTAAGTATTTACAGCTGACTATTTTAAATTAATTAATATATTTACGTTCTTTCAAAACGTAAACATGGAAAATTTGGAAGCCCATTGGGCTTAGCCAAGAGAAATATGAAAATAAAATGATACAGTATTGCATTGTCATCCATTTGTGAGCTAAGTTTCAAGTTTCAAGTCTCTAGCTCATCGGTAACTCCGTTTAAAATTGATATCAAAATTTGTAAGAAAGCGAGCTTATAAATACAAGCCCATGGGGCGTAGCCCAAGGGAAATATGAAAATTAATGATATAATATTTTATCGTCATCCATTTGTGAGCTATGTTTCAAGTTTCAAGTCTCTCGCTCATCTGGTACCTAGTTAGTATAAAATTGATTGCAGAATTTGTACCAGACAAGAAAGCGAGCTAATAAAAACGTTTTAAATAGAGAGGAAATGAATTAATATCAATACAATTTTTCTTTTATTAAGATGCATCGTAAGTTTTGCAATATTTTGTAGGGTTGTTTTTGTCAGGGTGTACTTCTTCTTCCATCTGCTTAGTTTTCTTCTGAAGGATAAAAATTGCACTAGAAAAATACATCATTGTATAAATATTTAATAATTAAATTAAGAGTCTTCCGTAGTGGAAGCCATGTTGGATTTCTTCCCCATAAGAACAATGTTAAACATTACATCATTTGTGGACACGTAACGGCGTTATTTGTTAAGATATAGCTTTGAAATTTATAATTTGTATTTTTAACATAATAGACTCGTGACTGAGGTTTTTGAATTTCGAAAATCTATTTTCATTTCCTTTCAATAATTAGCTTAATTTGAAGCTAATTAATAATCAATTATTCATTATAAAAATTAAAAATTGTGAAATAAAAAACGTCAATCTCTAGAGGACCGCAATTCCTTAAATTTAACTCCTTATCCATAATTATATGACAATTTGCTGATGAGATATTTGGACCCAAAGTTAACATTGTTCTTATGGGGAAGAAATCCAACATGGCTTCCACTACGGAAGACTCTTAAAACACCGTAACTTTTGAACTATATTAGGCAACTGCATTTTATGAATTCCAGCACAGTAGGCTACTTAGTTATGCAATTTGTAACCTGCATTTAGGGTAAACTCCGGTAAAGCTGGCAACTGCTTCAGATAATTAAAAAATCATTAAATTCTGTGTGAACACATTATTGACTCAGGATTTTTGTAGATCTCTCTCAATCACTGTTTGACAAATTGAAAATAACTTGTGTGTCTTCAGAATTCAAACTTAATTACCCTACCCTACTTTTTTTCACGCACGGCATAAAAAAATTGCTCAACTTAAGTTATGAGCCTATGAACTTTTTCAAACTGACACTTAACTTAGAACATATAATTTTAAATCAAAATAATAACCTTTAAACCTAAAATTGTTAGAGATGCGGATGGTTTGTTTGAACTAAAACATCCTTAAACAATTGTGTTTTTTGTTGGCGATAACTCCAAAAACCTTACTATACCTCTCTTGCTGAAATGTTTAAACGGTACTTTGGTATTATCCTGATACCACCCTTATAAACAGCAAGCTGTGACGGTAATGTTAGGTTGGGTTATGATAAATATGTTTGTAGGACTTTCCTTGATTCGTTATGAATCGAACGATATGAGATGAGTCATACTTTTGCCCGCCACCGCCTAGTAGCTGGGTCAGTGTCCTGAGTGATAACTTATCTGGTATTGTTCGACTCATAACAAAACGAGGAAAGTTCTTCAAACATATTTATGATAACCCAATCTAGGATAACCGCCGCAGCGTGCTGTATACCTACTTGGCGGAGTACATATAGCCCCGACATGTGGCAGCTAGCGACGGCTACCCATTCAACTCAATCCTCGCTAATATCGCTACCTTCTGGGAGGCAGAACTCAAAGGCCGTTAATCGTGTAAAATTTGGACAGTAAGTCAATTAAAGTATGTTCTTTCCAATTATGTTGTTATTTTTGGTCTCCGGTAAAAAAATCCCTCTAAAATAGGTGGCCTCCCGATAATACCAAAGTACCGTACTTATAAACATTACCTATTATAATAATTAATCAAACTCTAAATAACTGGGTACAAACTTTATCTTCATATTAGTGTATGCCTTGAAAGATTACCAATAAAGATAAATACTTACAAGTATATTAGGAAAGATAAAATTCCATAGAGAACACTAAGTAGGAAAAACGCGCCTGGCAAATATTCAAATGTATAGTTGTAAAATTGGTTATAAAGCGGCATGTTGATCAGTGGATAGAGTGCTTCAGCTATCCCCACCATACTGTTTGCTTGACCTGAAAATGAAAATAAATTCATTTCTACAAAATAAAATACCCCCGCGGCAGCAAACCTGCAGACTAAGCAAATTTCCATTTATTTGCCTGATTGCAATTTTCACTCACATCCTTAAAATTGTCATATTCAAAAAGAACCGAAATTTCTTAAACCATGTCCTCACTCATAACTGCTATAAGCATTTGATACTTATATGCCAACCCCGTACGAAGGACGGGTACTCTGCTAGTAAATAATAAATAAATAAATACGAATGTTATTGTTGTTAAGCTTTACAGCAATAGACAAAGTCAGTTTACAAGTGCACTTGTAACTCTGTACCGTAGCTTAGGTTTGTTGCTACAGGAAAGGTGATAAAAATCTTTTGTAAAATTGTAATAGTTTAGTATTAAATAAATACATTTATAGACTAACCAACACAAGTAGACTTCTCATCCCATTGTAAATTTTGAAGCACGTTTTTCATGTCTACTTCATGTACGGTGACACTGGGCGCTAGTGTCGACGAAATCATGTTTCTATTATTTTAGGGTTAATTTCTTAATTTGTGCTTTACTGTTTGGTTATATTACCAGGGGACAAGTTATTGTTTATGATTAGATCGTATTATTTGGTTAAACATGGTTTTAAATGACTGAAATAACGGGAAATAAATTGTAAACAAAACACGACCTCTACATAAACTGTACAGAACTAATAATAAAATTGTCTTCAGATGTTCCATATAGAGGAAATCTACTAAGTGAGTATGTTTTATTTATGATACATTTTACAAATGTTATCAAAATATGTTCATAAACAAGCAAAATAAGTACAACTGTTTACTTATTCTCCATAACAAAAATTTAAATTTTAGAATTAACAGTTTTTTACTAAAGTTTCTCCTTAACTATTTCGACAGGACTGTCTGCGCTTTTAAAATCAAACAAGACTTTTGGCAAAATAAGCTTACCTGATTCTGAAGAGTCAACAATTTTTGATATGATAGAATACACCACTGCTAAACCAGCCCCATGCATAAAGTCTATTATTGGGACTGAAACAACAAGAGATGAACAATCAAATATTTTGGTAAGTTACTGGTAATATAGGCTATGGTCGGTTGATGAAATACAACAAACAAATACTGTATTTCCAGTTAAAAGTTAATAATTAATTTGTAAAGACTCAAACTCTTTCTTCGCCAGAGTCAAACTAGGCCCATGTCAACTTGGCAAAACCAAGACACACACACAAATACACTGTATAAGCTATTAAAAGTATTCTCCTAGGTAAATAATCCTCAAATCTACATCTGAAATATACTGTAACTTAGGTATATCAAACACATGTGATATTTAATAAACCCAGATGTTGAACTTGACAGAAAATAATTATTAGAGCGGCCAGCTGATAAGTTTCTTTAATTTCCTTATTAAAGTATTCTAAAGCCTCGTTCCCACGGGGCGTGAGGCATCGGAGTGAGAATCACATCGTAAAAATGCACTCCGTTTGAATGACATGGAGTGAATAGCTGGTAACGTCACTTGGCGTGGTTATCCACGAACAGCCACACTTCGGAATTAACTGGTTTAATATTTGGGTGGGAGGAGCTAACATTTGCATTCTTGGCCGTTTTTCTATGCCAGTTTAAAGTGTTGTGGTAGTGTTGGTGGTGTTGTACTTCAGTGGTGTGCTATGTCGGAGCCACGAAGTACGTTTAGTGACGTTTCACGACAATGAAACTTTTAAGTTCCTTGAATTGAACGCTGCAAGCTGAAAAGAATACAAGACTAAACTTGTGGACTAATTGCCTAAAATTGCTTGCACTAAAATTCCACTAAAAACTGAAAAACTGCACTGCACAACTCTCAAACACTCTGCCTTCGTTGACTTTCTAAAGTAGACAAAATCTGAAGCCTGTCTCGTGTGAACAGTCCATGCCTTACAACAGTTGGTATTTCCCATCCCCACCACAGGGCAAAACTCAAGTACGCGTGATGAGCCCATAGGTTCAGTTCTCTGCAGTTCAAGTAACAGTAATTTAGAAAGAGTCTGAAAGCAAGTTCTAAAATTAAAAATAAAAACTTACAAACAAACAGCTCCCATGGATATGCAGCAAAGGCGTTGGCTGTCGCAGTTATGATTAGAGTCACCATTGACATGGCTCCAATGGTGGCATCGGATAGACCAAACATATGACTGAACACCCCCAACGTCAGACAAGTCCCTGTGGCATTACTTAAATTAATAAATCATACGTTTAGGAGGGAATAAACTGGAAGGTATCATAAATTGATTAAAACATAACTTTTTGTTTATTAACTTTGTTAACAAAATATGATATCTAATGTGTTTTTGGATACTGTTTCTTTTGCAATTTGTTTTCTTGGTACACTGTTTAAGTAGCGAGACAGTATTTTGTTTTAAGAAACTACTTCTTTTAAGTTAGTAATGGGCTTGCTGGATAATCAAAAGGACGTTTGTTCAATTCAGACTTAATTTATATAGTTTTATGGCAGTTTGGCAATGACCCAAGCTGTCATAAATGAATTGGCATTTAATAAAATATCTTGGCTTTCGATAAACAGGTGATTTTACAAGTCAGAAACAAGACAAATAATATCGTACTCTAGCAGATCATACTTCTTAACTAAGAAAAATTTATTCTTTATTTAAACATCTTTGCCACCAAGACTGATAATCGAATATAATATAATAGGTTACGTACCTTATTTCGTCTTCAGTCTTAACTTAGTCAACGCTCGATGACTAGTTTCGTGTTCTGTCGTGTCCGCCGTGTAACCTGCGTCGGTTTGTCCCGTATTCAATGTGGCCGGCCTATCGTAAATGTATTTGTACCTTTTATTTATGTAAAATGTGTAAATTTTATGTGTCGTCAACCTGCATGTATACATTGATGAAGACTTACGTCAGATATTTGACCATATTCAATTGATGTTTTAAATAAGGATTTGATAATGGGACTTTGTTCCCGAAACTAGTCATCCAGCATTGACTAAGTTAAGACTGAAGACGGAATAAGGTACGTAACCTATTATATTATATTTTATTCTTTAACACAACAGAAGTTAACTTAAGATAATGTGTCTTAAATAAAGAAGTGGTAAAAATATTTTAAATCAGTCAGTTATTGTAAAAAAGTTCTTCTCACCAAAGAAAATGATTATGAGCTTGTAAGCTTCATAGTAGCCAAAGTCAACTGCATCCCAATGGAACTTGTATCGCAAGAAGAAATACAATACAGCCAGCTCTCCTAAGTTGGAAATATAATGCATTACATTGTAAACACAGGGTATACTGAAAAATGTTCTCGGAATATAAATTATAACTTTTTTCAGGTTAGGATTAATTTGATCTGTAATACCTTTTCAGTTACAGTTTTACATAGTTTCTATTATTTTCAATTTAAAAAATCAACTCTGTAATTCTGATTGTTTTATTACAGCTTAGCGTTGAGTTTTAAAGATTGACATTTTATTCCTCGGAAGGAGCCTCATTGCGGGGTACACACAAACTATGAAACAATACGCAAAAACGGTTCGTACTTAAAAAATAAACTACCCAGTGACAAAATGTAATTTAAAATGTTATCTTTTTGGGTTTATCTTCTTATGATTTTACTGGAGATGTTACTGTGGTAAAGTATCATAAAGTATTATGACAACTCTTAGAGATGATAAAATTTCTTATCAAACATATTCTCTCTAATTAGAACACACAGACCTTGTTTGTTCTTAGCAAAATGAATTTGGATACTTCACACCTACAAGTTATATATGGAGTGTGTTTTAAAGATGATAAATACTTCTTTTATCAGTATGGGGTAAATGTGGATTCTGATGGAAGCATTAACCTACCAATATTAAAATATTAGATACCAACATTAGCCTTCCAAACTAAACTACTCATAATGCCTGAAGAAAATTATATCAAAATCCTTCATCATAAAGTGTCTGTTTTTACTCATTGTACTTAATACTGTTATTTATCTAGTTTAGGCTACAGTTATTGAATTTTAAATATTTGAAACACAATTTAGCACTATATTTTTTATATCTTACAAAGATCTTACCCTGCAAAGGTGCCATAGTCAATGGGGCCACTGCTATTAACAACAACAGTATTGCTCTGTTATATCCATCTCTAGGCTTAAGAACAGTTTTGAAACACTGAACTACTTGCGAGGGGTCAAACAATTTCTCCCAAACTTTCAACTTCACCTGACCCTCAATTGGATTTTCAGGTATCAACAGATACAAATAAACTATAGCTGTCAAATTCATAGTAACACCTAGGCAATAAATCCCATAGTACCCGACTTTGTGGAAAATCAGTCCAAATACGAACGCACCAAAAGGAGATGCTAAGAAATATGTGGCAAAACATACTCCAACCTTCACCAACCTGAACTTCTCAGGGGTGTGGTCACACACTAGTGTTGCCACTCCGATTTGGAAACAGGACCGCCAACCTGTCAAAGCAGGGGGAACGGACGAAGACAAAGCCGCGATGGCTGGAGACCAACTCCAGAAGAACACGTTTAAGGCACACAGTAGATCTGCAATTATTTGTCCTATTATTGGCAGGTATAGGAGGGGTTTTCTGCGTCTTCCGTGATTGTCACTCCAAGGGCCAGCAAACATTACAAACACCACTGGTCCGACTAGTACAATGAGATCCCTCCATGTCTGTATGAACGTCACCTCCTTCTGAGCCCCAAGCTCGTCGGGACACTTCCCCGCACCGGCGGGTGGCGCAACTGTTCCCCCAAGACACACCTTCTGTAGTAGAAGGTTCTGGGAGCTCAAAACATTCAGTGCTAGGGTAGTGAAGTAAAGGAACATTACTGGCTCTAGGCTGATATGGCTAAGCACTTTAGACAATAACATCGTGATTAGTTGAACTTATGTCTGTTCTCGACTCACATACACGTTTACAAAATATTTTCAAAGTGTGAAGATTTCTTTATTGGTAAACATGCGAAATACAGTACAAGTCTGCCTCTGGCCTCTCCACACACTTAATTTTCAGAAATGCTAAGTTTAATACCTGTTAATTTCACTTTATTGCATATACTTTTATCTGTTGTCATCTCCCTAGGATGGTCTGGTCACCATCACTGATTATACTTAACCTTAATAAATGCTACCTGGTTTTATTTAGACATAAAATTCATCAGTGGAAACATTCTATAGTGACTATGCATTGTCGACTAAACTTCACAAGGCTAAACATTTAAATAAACACATATTTATAAAGTCTAAGTTTTAGTACCGTAGTAAGGATAAAAACTTTTCCAATAAATATGGTTTCTAGTGATTCCTGTTACTTCTTATCACCATACTAACCACACATCACCTAACATAATTGTCTGCAGTGTAAGGCAGACACAATTAAACAGCACTGATAAACTGAGATCTAGTCATTTGAATGTCCTTGTAACTAAACTCTTATCACCTTTCAATTGTTGATAAAACACCTGCTTGAGTTTTTAGAATAAGACATGAATACTAGAAAAATACCGGTATGGATCATAAACATAAACAAATGACATTTTTGGCCCGAATCCTATACATTACATTACATACATTAGCATTATAATTAACATATGGTTTAGGTTTAGACAGTTCCATATAAATCAAGTTTATTTTCGGGCCAAAAACGTCTTTTGTTTATGTTTATGATCTATACCGGGTCTTTTATAGTATTCTCAGAATAAGAAGTAGAATTTTCTTGCCTAAGTAAAAACCTATTTAGAATAGTTGATGTAAAAAGCCCTATTTATCTACTTCAAATGAAAAATTATTAATTTAATTTAATTGATTAACTGGTGAGAGACTCGAAAAAATATTCTTATACCGTACACATAATTTTTACAGAAGGTACAGTACTTTATTTACATGTAGATTTTATCAGTAAACAGTTAACTAAACAACTATTTTATAATATTTAGTTTGAAAGAGTACTACAAAACTGTTGAGAAAATAATTAACCAAATACCCCCGCCGCAGCAAACCACTAACTAAGTGAATTTCTGTTTGCCAAAACTGATTTTAAATTAAATCTATTTAAATAACATTAGTTTTAATGAGTACCTAGGTTTGCTGCTACAGAGAGGTTAATAAAGTGTGTTTTTAATCAAATATTAGTAGCTTAGTATAAAATAAATACATTTGCCAAGATCGATCAAAATGTTTCCATTTCCATAAACAAGCAAACTACAACATTTACATTATTCTCCATAAGAATAACATGGGAATTTTATTTTAAATTTTTTTTATTTTCCACAACCAATAACCGTACAGAAACACTTTGATATTCCAAATTATTTGTTAATGTTTTTTTTAAGCTCTTTAAAATGGTCTAGAGATAAATAAGGAAATTTTGTGCTTTGAGGGTCAAATGTGAGAAACCCCAATTTTTACCCCTTCGGTCCCGGCTCCAGGTCTTACCGTGCCGTCTACAATAATAGCTACTTAATTCCCTTCGCTAAAATGAAAAGAACCAAAACTGTCAACATGCTACATGGTTTTCCGTAATTTTGTCTCTATAATATTCTAACCAAAGTAATTTAAAGTTGATACATCCAAATTATCCTGTGAAATAATTTAAAATTGCTACACAAACAAATTTTTAAATTAGTATCCATAGTAACACTGAAACTGGTTTTGATTTATAACCAAAGAAATTGTAACAACGTTGCTTAAAAGTATGAAAATCAATATGTTAGTTGGTGTTTTTGCTTTATTTGTATTATTTGCTGCTAAGACGATACATTCATGTCCCATTTGGGCCGGGCCACACAAAACTCTTCAGGATGTTGCTGTAAGTAAATTTATTCTTATTTGGACTGAATTAGGATCCTAAAGAATATAGTTAATTAAAAGTGATTAGAAATGCACACATTTTTTGGACATTTTAGCACATTTTTCATATAGTGTAAAAAGCTATTGCTGTAGTACTTGTAGTAATACCTAGACCTTATCCTTGTATTCATTTATTTGAGTATTGTAAGTAAAAAGTTAGCCGACAAAGACTGAGCGTTACTGAGTATCCAAGCTTCCTGTCAGGTAACCAGGTAGGCTACAAAAGCGACCAACGAGTATTCGACCTGCCCGGCTCCAGTGTTTTTTTTTTTTTTTACCCTTGAGGGCCTTAAGTAACCTCAAACTACTGAGCAACAAATTGTTGCCATAGCAACCAGGCTGTCTTTGGCTCCCCTTTTACCAGAAAAACATTGGCCAACATCGGTTTGTACTTTTAAGAACTTAATAAAATGTGTAATATTGATAAGCATGATAATGAGCCTTCAGAATATTTCATCAAAATAATGTTCTATTTATACTTACCATGGCTAGGTATTGAGTTTTGACAGTTACAAACACGTTTTGGTGAAAATTACATCTCTTTAACCGGACAATTTTTATCAGCACGTCGGTTTAACCGGACTAGATCGGCAGGAAGTGGGCGGTACTAAAACAGCTGTTCTCTTGGGAAAGATTTGAGACCAGTGATCACGTGTCTAAATCCAATGCTCTCCTAAATTTAAGTTAAATACTGTATACCAGTATGCATTTAAACGGTCCGTTTAAACGAGTAAAAGGGGACGTCAGTTTAACTGGGAAAACCGTTATCTGGGCTGGCCTCGGTCCCGAGGAGTCCGGATAAGAGGGAGTCTACTGTACTTCATAGAAACAGTTAACAATATTTGAGTTGATATAAGTCAGCAAATGGTTTTAGGTTTTCAATGCCAATAACAGCCCAACAAAAATTTGTTTATTCAGAAATTGGAAAACATTTATTTAATAGAGACAGTAAACAAAACATTGGTGCATTAGATACTGATAAAAGTATATTTTTTACGTAGGATAATTTACAGCCACAAGTACAGCAGGAGGCAGAGAATGAACAGTGGCCGATGGCGTCGTGGTCTGATCCTTCCGTCCACCAATCACGTGTGAGGCGCAGAGATCCTCTCGTCCCACTCAACCTTGAGGAGTTCCGCAGAGAAAATCTCGGCCCCAAACCTGTCTGGCGTGATCCTAACACCAGAGACGACAACACCCACCTTCGGAAACATGTCTCCAACAGTGTTATTGAAGAGTGACATTTTAGTTTTTCTTTTCTGTTATTTATTTGATGAGCAAAAAATAAATTTTTGTTTTTGAAAATCTATACTTGTTTTAGTTTTTACCCTTTGTGTTGAACTTAAAAGCAAGTCTATTATCCATTAAAAAGGCTAATTTTTATTTTATCAACATATTCACTAATTCTTTGACTATAATATTCTTAGGCCTCAATTAAGTTACAGGGGAGTATATTTTGCAGGACTTCTGTCTTGGAGGCATTGTGGTTCAAATATAACAATTCTCCAATGGCTTTCAGATATGTGATAATATTGTTTTGTTTTTTACACCAGTTGCATTTTTTACATTTCGAAAGGGAACAGTCCAAACTAGTGATGGTCGAATCCAGGAGTTTAAAATCTCGAATCCTAAAAAAATCGAATCTTGAATCTCGAGTCACAATTCAAGACCTACCCAGACATATTTTCTCTGGACACACACACGGTTAAGATTGGTTATTAGAGGTAGAGCATCAACTAAGCTCTGTCAGACGGACCAGACATGACCAACGAAGCATTCAAACCTTCAACCTAAGAAGTAATCTCCTGTACTGCTAATTAATCAGACTCTAGTATTCCATACTAAAAATACTACCATGTCCTAATGTAGTAGTTCAAACCTTTCTCCCCCCAAATTTAAGATGATGTCAAGTACAGTAGTTAGGGTTTTATCATATTACTAAACCTTTTTGTATTCATTGATTGACCTTTGTTAATCTAAAAAGTAGGAAAATACAAATAAAAATAGTAAGTCTAAGTTGTAAAATATTTATTTGTCCATAGATAATACCTTTAAAGTAATGGTTCCATACAACCATGAATCAAAATTCACATAATCGGAAAATGTGTGCACTCTTTAAATAAAACTATTTACAAATTTTAAACTAAGACTTTTCAAACAGCAACAGCTTCTTCAATATTAAAATCCACGATGTTTTTTTCCTTAATAGTCAACAGCATAGCACTGAAAAAAAGAAATAAAAATTAAAATATAGGCTAATTGGAATTGTTTGGAGGAATGTTTGGTTTTTAAAATAAGTAATATATATTTTGTTAAAAATAAACTATTTTATAGTTACTATTCTAAAATTCTTCTCTATGGTTGTAATTGTACACATTTTTAACTACTACAACCAATTTTTAACTACAGAAAATATTTTACTATCATGAGGGTCCCAGAATAGGGTATAGTCCTCGAACGAATGAATAATAGGCTATGTATTTTTATCACCGAAATAAATTAACCCCAAACAGTAAAACATTAATGCTTACACATAGTAGAGGCAACCTTGATTATTTCAGAGTTATCGAGAAGTTGAATCAACCTGCTAGTTTGAGCATATGATAGCCAGACTTAAGTAATGCTAATGTACAAGGGTATTGACAGTGTGTGATTTTCATGGTCAAAGGTGGTGTGGTATACCTGTTCACGCCCGTAGAGAAACAAACTGTTGAAACACATCCAGGATATGTGGGTCCAAGTCTTGTGTAAACAACAGTGTCTCCAGTGTGCTCGAATACCTCTGCACTTGTTCATGATGCTAAAACACAACAATAGAAATTACTGAGATAGAATATGCGACAACAAAGTTACTCTCTAAAACCAATCAATCCATAAACCAGGTACCGTTTATCTTGTGATTGCAGAAACAATTCATGGGGAGTGACTGACAAATAAGTAACAGGTCAGATCACAAGTATTCATGCGGCTCAGCTGATTCCAAAAAAGTTTACACCAATTAGAGAAAGTCATATCTTAAACTCAATTCTACATTCACTGTTCAGCACGTAGTGTCCTAATGCCATGTATATCAAAGTACTCCAGTAAAAAGTTCATTGATGAATGACTGACTAGTACGAGTACGAGATGGATGAGTGTGACACTTACTGCTAGAAACACTTGCTGCAGTCGTCCAATGGTCCAGCGATACCACGGAGTGTTGTAGTCCTGGTCGTCAGTGTCACTGCGGACTAAGTGTTCCGACAGGATCATGATGAACCTCTACAACAACACATGTGGATTAGTGGTTGATAACCAATAAATCAGTTTTGAAATATTTTTGACGATTCACTCGCAAAAGAAACAAAATTTACTTATTCAGCTTAATCAACACCAGGGAAGACTTTAAAAATAAAAATAGACATCTTAAAACAACCAACCCCCAAAATTTTTCACTTGATCAAACTTGATTTTGACACTTAAGGAGTACGATCTTTAGCGATTTATACATGGATTCACTATATATTAAATTCTCCAACACACTCCAAGTGCAAACTAGTTAAAATCTGGACATTATATTATTTACTTCATCCACAAATATTCTAGATTGTCTCCACCTATGTGATAGTTAGTCTTGTCTAAGTAGCCAAAAAGAATTATGGAAAAATCATTGCACCTGCCAAGAATGAGAATAAATCTCATTTTGTGATAATGTTTCTGTGAGAAGCGAATCAATCCCTAGTAAAATCTGCTACCTATTTCCAATGAGGTTTAAGAGTTAGGCTACAGAAATCTACAAAAGTCAAGTCATACTTGGCAGGGACAATCATTTCACGGGGGTGGGGAAGGACTAGCTAGAATAATAATAATAATAAAAATCTTTATTTGTCATAAGGATACATTAGATCATCGACAAAGTCAAAATCATGATTATACATCAATCGTCAAACAAAACAAAATCAAAAACACTTTCAATATTTGTTTCAGAATCGTTGTGGGTGGAGTAAGATCACAGTGTCCGTTTTAGAATTTAACTATCTTGCTTGTCCGTAGCTAGAATTATTTGCGGCCTGCAACTTACACACAACCCAGGTGCAAAAATTAGATAGCTAATATTGCTGTAAAAGACACTGTTATAATTTGGGATGTTTTGTTGGACTGTGAATATTATTTTGTTGAAAGTTCTCATGAATAACTCTACAACAGGCTACCCTACATTAAGCACTTTATGTAAAGCTAGGAGTTCTTGAAGACTATTCAAATCTCAAACAATCTAAAATTTACGTTTTACCTGAAAGATGATGAGGAAAAGATTCTTCTGATCGGCTTGAGCAGCCTCTAGTTTCTCCTCCATCCGCTCGACCATCTCCTCGGTGGGCTTGTCTGGACGTGTCGTACCCCGCGTCTCTTCTTCACTACTATCACCCTCACTGCTACTGCTGTGTCCGCCGCGGGCACTGACACGCTCCCTAGCCTCCCCGAGCTCACGACCCAGTCGCGCCACGTGGGCTGACATCTTGCGGATGGTGAGGTGAAGAATTTCCCACAAGTACAACCTGTGATGGACAAATCAGGTAAGTCTAACTTTCCTGGATGTTGAATACAAGTGAGCCACTCTTTTAGGAGCAGGACAAATTAAAGTTAACAGAGCTAAAGTAAAAGTAGAACAGTTTACGTCTCACTTCAATGAGCATAGTTTGTACTTTTTTAGACCTAAATCAAGCAATATGAATTGTTTGGCAAAATGTGATACAATTTAAGCTAGCTAACTATCCAGCTCATATTGAAACTAGATTGTGTTTAGGTCAGTAAACTTCCACTTACTTTGTAAACTCAGCTGTCATCTCCTTAGAGAATATCCAGTTGGCAACAGCAGAACACTCTAGAATCTGTGTCTTGAGCATCTTGTCTATGAGGACACACATCATCTGCTGCTTGTCTCGCCACAACTCGTACAGACTGCGCAGGATACAGATCTGGGCCTCCTCACTCTCAGCTAGTATCTATAATGACACAACAGATACAAAATCCACAAAACTCTGATTTTTATAGTATAATGATTTTCAGTAATAGTACAAACTATTCATATATTCTTTAGTAGAACACTTAGCTGCAAACCAGATGCATTTGATAACCAGTTTGAAACTGAAACCAAATCTCTGTTGGCACATAGGTGTATTAAAAATGGAATCTTCGTGGGTTACTTAATTTACATTTTACAAGACAGAATGTATACACCATTATCTTTCCATTTTAAAAACAAAGAATAGAAAAACAGGAAAAGGGAATACAGTAAATTATTTCACTATCAAAGAAGACACTGAGAACAGAGGGAACATTGAGTATTTGAGGAAAACAAAAAGTCTAACATTTATTAAACTGTCTCAGTCGGATAGAAAGTTTAATTTTGCACAAAAGAATACAATATGTTAAAATAATCCATCCAAAAGAATTAACAAGACTCTTTGGACAAATCTCAGAGGCAATAAACAGGCCCACAGTTGAATGAAACTGGTTTAAAACAAAACTGATTTGAGACCCTAAAAAAAAACCAGTGCCACTCTCCGCTCCTATAATTGTTAATAAAACGTTTGCAGATACATCAGCTATGCTTACCTTAAACACGTAATGGTATTTGGAGATAGCTGCAAAAGAGTGACTGAAGCTCTTGGAGCCCAGGAACAGCAGTGTCTGAACAAACACATCTATCTTGAGTGGGTTGAAACGGGAGTCAGGCAGAGTCTCGTCATCCTCACGAGGGTTAGGAAGTTCCTTCAGCAGCGCCAGCACCTCCTCTGACGTAGCCTTCTGGCGCAGAATGCTCTCAAGCTGATGCGCCGTGTTGTTGCCAGGCAATGCCGCTGTAAATACACACTCGTTTAAGTAAGAATTAACATTTAAACAATTTAAATGTTGACATTATTGGATAGAGTTAACCCATTTACATTTGATGCCATACCAGTACTTTATGTCCGTGATGTACAGTATCACAGCTGACATACTGGTATGTCAATTAGATTTTTACAAAAAATGTACCACACACACACACACACACACACATACGGGGTTTTACCGAATACTCGCAAACACCTAATTGTGGCATCTTTCAACCTGCGGCCACCAGTGGATGAAGGAAGGTGGTAGAAACATGTCTGCATCGATATTTTTAATGAACACTCCATTTTAACATCTAACATTCCAGTTTTTAAATTGTGGCACCATGCCACAAATCGGTATATATCAACAGTGTGTGGACAGGATGCCACTAATGCGTTGTAGTGCTTGAGCGGTGTGTGCGCCCCCCCTACTTCTCGCGTGCGCTGTTGCCAGTTCTCCGTTCTAGTTCCTTCATTCCGTTCTGTATTCATGTGGCTATGCCCTAGCCGCTGTAGCTCATTTCCCGAACTCATGACGTCGTCTTTTATTAGTGTAAGGATTTTATATGAAGTTTTTTTCAAAGCTCCAATAATTTTTACAATTATTGGATTTAAAGTCAATGGACCAAATGAAATGTCGTGATGATTACATAAAACTACATGCTATTTTGTTGATATTTTATCGTCACATTGTATGTATGGTTTACGAACTGAGATACTTGGAATAAAGGCCTTAATGTGCTGGGTAAATTATCAGTTTCATGGGAATATACAAGAAATCTATTCTATCTATATATTAATTACGTAAGCCGATTCTTTGCGTCAAAATTGTGGGCGACTGGGAAGTCGTAGAACGACGTGAGAGGGCTCAAATTAAAGGTCTTTATCCCGTGACGGCGGGAAAAATAGTGAAATTCCCAAAATCTTAACACAAAATTAGATATAACGTACAATGTTCTCTATAAGAATAGCATTAGAAGGCATTTACTGCTGATTTTTGTTTACTTCAATCCAGCTGATCGTGATTTTATCATTAGCAAGTAAGCTTACATTTGGATTACTCATTTGCCAGTCAATTCTGCAATGTAATGTATACTATATAAAACCAATTATACAGTATAAAGGGAAAACGTTACCTTCAATAATCAAGACTTTTTAGTTATGTCAAAGTTGAAATAAATTGTTTTCAAGATTTAAGAAACGATTCAAGATTAAAAGAAGATCTTCTTTGTTTTTATTTCAAAACATATGTAAAAGATTTATTCCAATTTTTTTTTTAATTTACTAACATTTATATTTGAGATTTATTGTAGTGTTTAAGCAATATTTTGTATGAAGTGGAATAACCTCAACGGTTACTCTTAGAAAACAATTTGGGAATAGAGATGAAGTAGGTTCGTACAGGTATTTAAACGAACCAAAAATATTTATGTCGTGATTAGTTTCGATAACTGGGTAATGGAACCCTAACTAGCCGCAAAATAGTTAGTAGTTAGACGTTGACTAGGCCCTTTTTTGGTAGAATATGTAAATCAATCGCACCTTTAGGAGGATTAACACCACATACTTACACTAGGCTAATAGTGGTTTTTTAATGTTGATCACAAACAAATTTAGATCCAAGTTCTGTCAATGGGATGCCTTTACTTAAGAATAATTTTGTTAAACCTTTACAAAATGAGCATAGACTTAGAAATAATAACTGGGTAGGGTATCTCAACACACCATTTTTTGCCTTTTCTTATTTGACGAAGACAATTTCCAATACTGTATTTCAATCGGGGAAGCCTTGTTATCAGCATTAACCAAAAAACCAAAGCTACCTTAATAAACCAATATTTATTCATAAACATGTTTGCTGCATTTAGCAGTTAAACCTCTGGAATCATTCAAATTCTTTATTGAACATAACGTTATCAACAAAAGCAAACAAAGACAAACAACAAACTGTTTTGTTTTTTTGGACAAAAGATATGTTGTAGTGGGATATCTAGGCCTATCCTGACATATAGATAATTTGATTCTGAGTTTGTTTAAATATTCCAACAATAATTCCTTTTCCGTAGCTTTTTAGGGACTATGTCCCTACAAGCCACTAGTTTACATTAAAATACGCAATAAGTATGACTCCGTTTTTTCTGTATGCATATAATTAATTCATGGTAATGTAAAAGTATGCGTAACAAATTTTTCACCTCACTATGATGTTTTTAGCTGTTTTACATACATTTAGCTGGTTTATATTGGTGGCTGAAAGTTACGTTTTGCTGGCTATGCCAGCTGTCATCGTCATATGGGGACCGAGCAGGGGTTTACATCCCTAGGGCCGCAAAATCACTTGTTCGCCTATTTACTTAAAACATTAATGTATATTAAATGCACAAGCTGTATCCATGGCATTGCAATAGACTTGTTTTTTGTCACAGCTGCCCAGACAACTATTTATTGTTATTTTTGATTTTGCTGATTCCTCAAAATATTTTACATAAATAAGAGGGACGTTATATTGCAAAACATACTTGGGTGAAAAATAGCGCTCGTACCACGAGCCAAAATGGGTTTGCAGCTCTCGATCGTTTCACGTTCTCGACTTCGTCCCGAACTTAAAACCCGATATCGATTCGGCAAAACCTCACTGTACGAAATATACAATTTTTTTTACGGTGGATTTAGAGACCCAAAGATTCTCACCCCGTTGCGAAGCATGGGCAGATAGTTAGTTATAAGATTATAAAGTCTTTACTGTTTTGTCTGTACATTGCATGAAGTGTTTGGTTATTTCTACGTTGTATATAATAAGAAAGCCGAAACGAGTCTTGTGTCAATATCTGTACGTTTGTTTGATTGTTACTGTCATTGTGCCTGTAAGCCAAAATTCCAATTCACGTGTCCTACATTGGGAAAACTAGAGTACCGTTCATGATCCAAATAGTTTTGTAATTGTTTGAATAAATTTGCCAAGTTTGATCAAAATATACCCATAAACAAGCAAACTACAACATTTTACAATATTCTTTATATGAATAACAAGGGAATTTTAAATTTACAATTTTTGAATTTGTCCTGTTACCAATAACCGTACAAAAACACTTTGATATACTAAATTATTTGTTTTCTAAGCTATTTAAAAAGGTCTGGATATAAATTGGGAAATTTTGTATTTTTAAGGTAACGTTTTTCTCCATTTCATATATTAGTAACAATATGTATAGTATCAAATTCAGTAATAACATTGACTACTGTATTTAAACCTTAACACAAGTGTTTATATATTCATTGAGGCTACTGGTGCTACCGCTGATGGCTTATTCATTCATAGTAGAACATTATATACTTTAAGTAAACCAACAGAAAAAGATTGTTTAAAATTTTCAAGTTCATTTTAGAACAAACTGTTTGCTCCGCCTCCCAGTTAACTGAGAATTTCAAGAAGTAGAAACATATTAAATAAATAATAAGTGAAGTTAAATATATCCCACAGTGATTTTAAAAAACATTACACAAACTTCACGGATGCCAATAAACTTCTAATAACCTTACTAGGAATTTCCTAAAACTGATATTGTACGTTGAAATAGGTTTATCTATCTATCTATTCTATTATATATTTTATTCTATTCTATACTATTATAAAGAAGATGAGGTGTCTGTGTGTGTGTTTGTATGAGCTAATCTAAAAAAATACTGATCCGACTACGCTCAAATTGCACATAAATGAAGCTACAGCTCCGAGGATACATATAGAACTATTGCCGCTTCGATATTCACCTAGGGCTTTGCCCCGTGGGCTTTCAAAAATCTGATATGAGAGATTTAAAAGTAAATATTGATTGATGGTATCCATGGTAACAAAGAACAAACCTAGTAAGTTTAAAAATGTAAACAAGTAGAACTAACTAACTGTCAAATTGATTTTGATTTCACAATTCAACACAGCTGGTTTAAACCTAACTGCACGAATATTAGAACAGAGAGGGTAAGGATTATAAATTTAAAATAATGATGTCACTAGCCTGAATGTAAACATTATTTAACATTACCTAAAGGAGCTGCCAAACCATATGTAAATGTAATTTCATTATTATAGGATTGTTTCGGTAACAGTACTTCATTTGTTTATGATCTAACTATACTGAGTCTGTTTGTTAATTATACTTAAATTTACTTAATTTTGTGAAATGTTGTAATAATATTTATTTATTTTTATAATAATTCATTGTAAAAGAAATCATTTGATGGATATAGGAAATAATCAACATTCTATATTGCCTTATCAACCTAGGCCCTTATCCTGAGTTATGAGGTATATTCTTTTGATTTATTTGTTTGTAAACAGTAATATAATCCCCCTGCCCCAGCAAACCTAGACTGAGCGAATTCCCGTTTGCCTGATTATAATTTCACTAAAATATGTTAGAAAATTGCCCTATTAACATGTTTGGAACTATTGTGATAGGTTTTCGTTTACAGTGCAAACCATTAAACACATTCTTTTATTATAGGTATATGTGTGCTACACTATAGGATACCGTATAAATTAAAAGACCATATTTTCTTAATCCGTTTCCTCTCCCATCACTGCAATGATCATGTTCTACTTATATGCCAACCCCGTACGAAGGACGGGTATTCTACTAGTTATTAATAAAGTTGAGAATACTAAAGGTTCTACAAAACAAAACATTGAATAATAAAAATACATTTGTATGAAAGTAACAGATAGATTGACAAAATTGTAAAACGATCGTATAATATCTAACAATATCCAATTATTTACAGTATCACGGTTACAACTTTTAAACTACTTTTGTTATGACTCAATGTTAACCTCTTTAGGACCTTTCATTTTATGCTTTTGTTAGTGGGGACTGGTTAAAACACCACAGTAGGTTTTACAAATATGATTGTGAGATGATATTATAATCTGAACTAGATTATGCGTGTTGATAATAATATGTATTTTAATTTAAGTACTTTAATTGATT